GGGTGGGGGTGGGGTGGGGGTGGGACGAGACGTTAGCCTACCAGTAGAGTGCCCTTTGAAGAAATTCTTTAAAACCTCTCTTACACTTTAGCTACTATATGTTGCTAAAATGTGAATTTGGATGACAAGTTTAGATACGATGAAGAAAATTTTCAAGATGAGTGATTTTTGGCTCAAGGAAAGCAAGTATCAAATGAGCCCATAATTCTATCTTATAAATCGAGAATTTAATTCAAAATCTGACAACGTATACATTGAGAATTTCATTCATAGTCCGACAACATAAATCGAGAATTTAATTCAAAATCTGACAACGTATCATTCATAGTCCGACAACATATACAAAGAGATTTTGCCTATGTTCTATAATATTAAGAGTCAGCAATGCTGGAAGGTGCTCCACCTAAAGACTGTACTGCAATGTTCTCTCTATATCTAGCCACTCAACTTCTGAATTTTTGGGTCTGAAAGTTTTGATGAAGTTTATCCTTCTAAATTGAAAAAAAAGGACAAAAATGAAAAAGAAGAAAGGAAACCTAACACAATGCAAACCGGGAACCTCATCTGCTAAATCCGGTACATAGAAGTTTTCCTTTGGCTCACCAAAATCAAAATACACCACTATGAGGTTCCAATAAAGTAATTAATTATTTCCCCTATATATTGATGAAGCAATAATGTTGTATGGCATAAGTGGTAAGTTTCTTGTAACTAAGTGAAGTATGGGACGCCCATGGAGGCCCCGCGTTGTGTATGATATGAATGAATCTGGGGGAGCAGAAATGCAGAAGCTCCAAGCCTAATACAAAAGATACGAATATACCACAACACAAAATAAAATAGTAAATAGTAAATATCAAAACCAATAGAGGATATCCTTGCATGATGTGCTTACTCAATTGTTTCTTAGGTTTCTGCATATAATATGAACTAATGTGTACGCCTAGATATTTATTTGTGGTTATAAATTGTTTTGCCTAACTACTTGTCCACACTTCTAAACGTGAGTATTAAAAGGACATGCACTACTTAGCTATAGGTTTTAAATGTCAACTCTCAGCCTGTGAGTATTAATTAGGACATGCACTACTTAGCATGCAATGAACTTAATTAGAGGTTTTCTTAGCCCTACAAGGATGTCCCTCAAATGAGCATATTTGAGGAATCTCTCCACTGAAAAGATATATATATATATATATATATATATCAGTCTCCTTCCCTCAAATAATTTTACTTGAGAGACACCATTTAGGTTCTCTTACAATTTTTTTTTTTTAACGATCCAAACCATCTATTTTTTTAAGTCTACATTCATAGATTATCCTTACAAAAAATTGGACAAATTGGAAACCGTTTCAACATCCAATTATGTCATACAAAATCAGTGAACACGGTGCTTCAAGAAAGTACTAAAATTTCAATATTTCAATTAAGTGGTCAAATGATATCAGATTCAAGTGATTTTTTGTAGAG